CATGTGACTGATAGTAAGATACTGACTTTGCAGGTAGCATTTTTTTATTCCATAGTATAGAGGTTGAAATCCAGTCTAATTGTGTGTACAGATCAGTAAAATGCTGCTAACCTCACCAATCAGGCAGTATTTCATTATTTTACCTTCAGAAACATCCAAAATCTGCGAAAATTTTCTTGAGGCATTTTCTTGTGATATAGAACATTCCAGCTGATGCATTTGAATTAGTGACATTTTCTAAGCAGCTGAAGGGTTTTGTTACCCAATACTTTTTCTGAAAATCCATTTGTGCATAAGTAATGGAAAGATCTGTGCAAGGGTGTGAAACCTCAGGATTTGTTTTGTGAAACATTGGTAATTAAGTATTAGAACTAAACACTTTTATTTTTCTTTTAATCTTCTCCTCTCCTTGTAGAGCTGACGGAGGTGTCAGTAATAACAGTTTTGTCATGCAGATGACTTCAGATTTGATTAATAAGAAAATAGAAAAGCCTTCAAATACAGATATGTCTAGTCTTGGTGCAGCTTTTCTTGCTGGTCTTGCATCAGGTATGTATACAAATACATCTAAAATTCATGTTTTCCCTGACAATATGTATGTTTGTAGATAAGGAAATATCATCAGGAAAAGAAACAATAACAAAAAAACAACAACATTGTAGACTTAATTGTAAAATGTCCACAATTACTTCACCCACTTTTATGGGAAGTTGCAGTAAAAAGCGTTCACCTTTGTACAGTCCTTTTTATCCATGTGCTTGTTGTGTTTGATGGGCCAAAGAAATGGGTGATAGGGCCATACATAAATAAGGACCATATTTGTATTTTTATCACAATGTCCCAATATGCTGAGCAGTTTTATCCTTGGGTTTTACATAAATGAATAGCAACAGGAAGCTTAACATGAAAAATATCTGCATATAGGCTTTAGTGTTTATTTGCATTTAGAAGGACACACTGCTAGAGAAGAGAGGTGAACCCTCTCTTCTTTGCTCCCTCTCTTTTCCTTGACCTGGACGCTACAAGTCCCTTTCCATTTTCGTACTGTGTGAAACAGTGCTTGGTGTGCATGGATCATGTGAGAAGGTGGCTGCCTTGCTCATGTTCAGCACTGTGAAGCTGTATCCTGTCACCTCTGAACAGAGTCTTTATTCTTTGAGATTTTCACAGACATAAGTACAGTGGAATTACAAAATAGATGAACGAGGGCTGAGGGGAATCCAGCTTTACTCGGAAAGAACTGGCTTATATAATTAACCTGACTTTAAACTACAAATTGTCAGTGGTTCTTAATGGAAATACATTTTGTAGAAGGATACCTCACTAAATTGCTTTGATATGTAAATAACATAACTAAGATAAAATCACATGCTCAGGTAAGGCTTATCCAGCAATTAAAACTGAAAAAAGGTCCTTTGACAGACAAGAACGATTCAATACCATAAATTAATTTGAATACGTAACAGCAGCTATTTTCTTTATGCACTTTTTAGGGCATGAGGAAAGGCAATAGTGCTAAGTTTTGGTTTCTGTGGCCTCTCTTCATTTAGAGGGACCTGCAACTGAAGGCATGGTGTTGATGAAATTTAAGTGAACTTCAGTCTTCCAGAGCTGTTCCTTGTTAACTATCCCAGTTAAGCAGATGTGCTGTTGTCAGCATTCCAAACAAGTGGATGCTATTGGAAAGCAGTTTCACAATGTAAAAAAAATATGCTTCCCTCTGAGAAAGTTGTTGGTTAAGTAAAGAAAAGCTGTCATGATTTCTTATTGTGTTTCTGGTTTGGATCTCTTGTAAGTAAATTAAAGCAACTCAAAAATAACATATTTGTAGTTGAGCCTGAGAATGAACTTTCTGTTTATAGGATTTTGGACTGACAAAGAACAGCTAAAGAAGCTGAGGCGAATAGAAACAGTTTTTGAGCCTCAGAAGGACGAGGAGGAATACAAACCTGCTATGGACACCTGGATGCAAGCGGTGAAGTGCTCCTTGCACTGGTAGAAACTGACATTTTGGAGATAGAAGGAATCAAATTATAAGATTTTGTAGTTAACAGAATGGTTAAAATTGTAACTGAAATTTGTGATGGTATACAAAAGTTATAAGGTCCTTTGGTAACCTTTGTGCTGTTGGAGAACTTACCACTCCATAATGAACCTTCGTATCATCCTCACACCAGCTGTAGTCCAGATGCAGCATTTGTGTCCCTTCAGTGACCCCCTTTGGGTGGCCCAACTGCTTGAAACCATGCTTTGTATGTTGGGAGTTTTTTCCTATGATGTGTTTTCTACTGAGGAACTCATCTCTCATCTGATCTTTAAAAGCTTTGATATGTTAACCATCAAGGAATCTAAAAAGGGACATGCACTTCCCTAGGTATTTCTAAGAAGAAAAAATAATTATTTAGGAAATTATGGGAAATTGTTTGCCAGTTACCACATTTTGATTGACTTTTTAAGGAAGCATTTGACCCAGCTGTCTGATGGCATTTTTGTGATGCCTCGGGATTATCACAAAATTAAGATGAGAAACAAAAGCAAATATGCTTTCAAAACTCCTTAAAAGATGCTTCTCTCCAGGATTTTTGTAGCTGATGTTTACTACCTATCTAGTTTGTAGCTACATTTTTTAAATTTTATAAAGACAAAAACTGCATTATATGGCATGATTAATATGAATGTTAGCATACCTGTAACTGCATTTAACTTGTAAAAGTCTGTAATATTTTCAAGCTCATTATTACATCCTATTATTATTGGGGAAAAACAGGGTTGAAAGTCTATTTTTGAAGTTACTACTTTTACATTTGGAAAATAAACTGTAATTAAAGAAACATGTAGCTAATTTGTTCATCACTAATCTTAAATTATTACAAGTTTCTCAGGGCTACAAGTAAATCAGTTTCAGATTATAATTTCCTACTTCAGAAAATGTTACTGGCAAGAATGCTCTCCCAGACCAAAAAGAGAAGGGTATCATTCTAAGATTGTGAACAGAAGATGGTGGCCTTGCTTGTAGTTATTCTGCGCTTCATTCTCATTGAAGGAGTTTAATTAACCAAAGTCTGCCTAATGTCCACCTATGACCCCTTTCATGACATCTCATGGCTTGTGTTCATTTTGTAGTTCTGTGGTTTTCTAGCCTTGACTGTGGGTCCCATACTCTGTCCCCAAATAGATATATAATGGGAGCTGAATCTGATTCTATTGATGCCATTTGCTTGCAAATAGCTAGCTGTGTGCCTTATTTGCACCTTTTCATTGTGGTGATTTTCATCCTGACCATAGTATAGCCAAAATACATGCAATTTTGCATTTGGTACCAGGTCAGTTTAATAGTAAATGTAATGATATAAAATGAAGTCAATATTGCTAATTTTAGCACTAGCATTTTAAGAAATGTACCACGTTGAGACTGCAAATGTTTCACTTTAGGATTGGGCAGTAATGGACCTCATCAGTCATGTGAAGATCAGGAATTCAGCTGAGAGATGTGTTAATGATCCTTGTGCATCCTGCCATCAATGATGCATGTGGTGCTGATGGTAGGTCTGCCTAATTGGGATGCAGCTATTATCCATGATGATACATAGTCTCATATTTTAGAATCACAGAATATCACAACTTGGAAGGGACTCATGAGGATCTCCAACTCCTAATACTTGGGAGAACATGGCATAAAAAGTTAAAGGGTTGGTGAGATCTCAGAGCTGTTGGATTAATAATAGAAAGTAGAAATTGTAAGTAGAAAGGAAAGAAAAACAATCTTCAAACAATTGAAAATACTCTCAGCAGATGCAGTGTGAGTTTTCTTAAGAAACAATCCAGTCACTGATGTATAAAATCTCAGTGTAATTAGCTTTGCCACCATTTTAAAAAATATTTTCTTCTCTCCTTTAGCAATTAATTTTATGAAAAATTCTCTCACCTGTTTTTGACAAGAATGTTCATGCATGCTCTCCTGTTGAAGGAAATTAGAAAAGCAAAATAATGAATTGCTGTTCCAGTCTGCTAGCTTCTTTTTGTTGTGGTCTGTGTAGCAAGATCCTTCAGCTAGTGCCATGTACTCATCTCAGGGAGCAGCTTGGACTCACCATTTGAACAGCAGCCTTGTGAAAATAAGGTAAGAACCATTTCTTGCCAGTCAGTGGAGCATGAAATACAGATAGGTTTTTTTAAATGTTGGTTTTGTTGTTTTTTTTCTCTTACTGTTCCAAGCCCAGAGGTACAGGCAAAGTTGTCATTTTGTCTTCAGCCAAACAGATGTGTTGGTACTGCAGAGTATGGAGATGTTCTGACCCAGAGGTTGGGCCACATTCTAGTTTGAGGTTTTACAGTGAGACAAAGAAGTTCAGCTCACTGTTCAGGAGAAATGTTGGGTGTGGGGGTAATGGATTAGTGTTGGTATCGCAGCACAGGTTGGGGCTCGCAAAGCACTGAAATCAGCAAACAGTGCAAAGTAATGTGTTATGAAAAGGGAAAGGGGGAGATGATCTGGAAACAACCAGCCATGCGGAGCACGGTGTTGTGGTGAGGCTTTGAGACTCCCGACTATCTCCAGAGAGCAGCATCAGAGCTTCCTAAGTGTGGATCTTGAAGAAATCGCTAACCCCCGTGCCTTTGCAGAGCTAAGGGACCAGTTACAGCCAAATTTTCAGTGTGGATCTCAGACTGAGTTTGGGATTTATGTAAGTTCTGAGTACAGATCGGTTTAGAACCTTACAGAAGTAGTAACACTCATTACAAACTGATCGTTTCAGCAGCTTCAGGCTGAGCATTGTGTGTGCATACAAAGCTCAGCCAGTGTTGACTATGGCAGTCACCATCCATCTCCTTTCCACAATGGTTAAATGCCTTTTTCATGTTTGTAATCATAGCATCTGACATAAGCCTTGCGTAAAAATAACCAAATGAACTAAAAAGATCATTTTAAGACATAAATGACTTTATTGAGGTGGTATTTGACTTCAGGTCTGGGTTTAGCACGTGGAACGTAGGAGGAGTGCAGGAAGCCAGGCACCCTGGCTCGCTTCTGCCCTTCCTTTCTTCTCCACAGCGGGGCCTGCTGCAGTGCCTCTGTGCCGCCTGGGGCCTTGGCAGCTGGGCAAGGGAGCGCTCCATTTTGCGTATGGTTTTTTAATGCTTTCATGTAAGTTTCTTACGCAACTGCAAGTATTGATAAAGGTCTTGTTGCATGTGACAGAGTATTTCGTAGAGGATGAAAAGAAACAGAAAGCACACGGTCAGCACATTCCTGGGCCTGTGATTAATAACCAGCTGTGAGCCGTCCCACGGAAATAAACAGACGGTTCTCGTTCCTTAGTTTAGGAGCCCTGTTTTACAGCCTGCTTCTGCTGTTTATTTTTTTGTTGTGCATGTAAAGCGGGACTACCCCCAGCTCCGTGTTTGTGTGCTCTATGACCGTTGCGCGGCTCCGGTTCCGCGCGGCACGGCGGTGTTCGCTGCAGCCCCGCCTGCTGCCTGCGCGTGCGGCGCCGCACCGTATCGCTGCCCCCGCTCTTCGGCTCCCGTCAGCGCTTCCCGTTAGCGTTCGCTGAGCGTGAGCGGCAGGCAGCCCCAACTTCGAGGCGCTTCCCGTCGCGGGAGCGGCTGCCGGCAGGCGGGGCGGGCCGGGCCGGGCCGAGCCCCGCAGAAAGGGCCTCCCCACCAGCCCCCGCGGGGCGCGGCGCCAGACACGGCCGCGGCCGCCCGGGAAGGAGGCGGCCCGCGCCCCGCCCTTCCGCCCCGCCCCCCCCCCGCACAGATCCCTCGGATTGGCGGGCGGCGTGTGTACACACACGAGGCGCGGCCAATGGCGCGCCGAAGACGCCCGACCTCGCGCGAGGCGGCGGCCAATGGGAGCAGCCGCTCGCCAGACGCCGCCAAGCTTGTGCGGGGGAGAAGGACCCGGGCAGAGCGCGGCGCGGCGGCGGCGCGAGGCGGCGGTGGGGCCGCGCGGGGCGGGGTGCGGCGGCGGTGGCGGCCGTGCTGGAGGTGCGGCGGAGCTCTCGCGCCGCCACGCGCCGGGGCTCGCGGCCTGCCCCTGCCGGGCTCCCTCTGTGGGGCCTCCTCGCGAGCGACGGGGGCGCGGCGCCGGCCCGGCTGGGAGGTGTCGTCGGCGTGCGGAGCGGAGCAGAGCCGCGGCCGGTAAGCGACCGTCGCGTCTAGTCACCTCGGCGTCGCCGCTCGGGCCCGGCCGCGCCGCCGCCTTCCTTCCTCTCTTCTCTCCTCCCGCCCGGGCCTGCGGACGAGCCGCTGCGGGGTCTCCGCCGGGAGGGACGGCGCCTTTCTTCCCGAGGCGCCGATTCCACCGCGCCTCGCGGCGGCCCGGCCCTCCGTTCCCCGGCTCGGCTCCGGCCGCGTGAGGAGAAGGAGGGGGAAGAGGGCGGTGGTGCGGCGGCCCACTGCCTGACACCTGCGGCGGCCGCGCGCTCGCCCGGCGCTGAAGGGGCCCCTCCGGAGCGTGACCGCAGCGCGGGGGGCCGCGGGGCCAGGGAGCGAGCGGCCGGGCGCCGTGCTGAGTGCCAAGAGGGCGGCGCGGGCCGGGGGGTGCGGGGCCGCGCGATGCCCGGGGGAGAGCGCAGCGACCGCAAAAGTTGGCAGCGCCGCGGGCCGGCCCGTCTGCCCGCCGTAGGCCTCACGGGCTTCGCGGCGGAGGTGAATCCCGGGACGAATGCCGCCGTTCGGATTTGGGCATGCGAACAAAGGGAGGAAAATAGCTCGTAAGCGAACTTCCTCGGAACGAGGAAGAAAACCGCATCTCGGAGGGTGCGTCCCCGCCGAGCGCGGGGCTGGCGCTGCGCTCGCGCCGTGCCCTCACGTGCCGCTCCGCGCCGCGGGCCGCCTTCCCCGCCGGGCTGGGAACGGACACAAAGCCGGGTGGTCGCGTCTGTGCGGTGCGGCAGACACGGCGTGTGGAAAATTAAAATGCGATGGTTATGCGGTGTGTGTTTTTATTTTGGAAGTCGGTTCCGTTATTTTCGCGTCTTTTTGTTAATGTTTCTAACAGTTGATGTTTTTTTTCCAGCTGCGCAGATGTAGCTTAATTACGGTGGTGGAAATGAGGTCAGAACCGCGGCTGCTGTGTTGTACTGTAGCTAATCTCATCTAGTGTGATCTCTTATTAAATATATATGTATATTGACTGTATAAATTGATGCTGCTAGAAGAGAGATGAGGAACAACTTCCTTTCTTTGCCTGCGTTGAGTCTGGTTCTCCTGATTGTAGCACTTTTTACCTTATCCACAGATGAAGTGATGGGGGTGCATGGGGCAGACCCGTGGCCACTGTGTGGTACAAATGCCAGTTCTGCCAGTGCTCTGTATGCATGGAGATGTGTTTTTACGTAGCCAAGTACTGCGTTTTGAGAGCTTGTGTTTGCAGCAGCCTGTAGGGTGTTAGATACAGCACTTCAAAGAAACATGGAAGAGTAAGTTTACGTTGCAGAAATGAACATACATCAAACAGGTGGTCGGGAGGGGGAGAAAAAGCATAGAAGAAAAGTATTCTTGTTGGAACATTGTTGTGCAGTGAGCCTGACGCCTCTGGAAGAGCTAAAAGTAATAGCTCTGAAAACAGTTTAGATCTGCACTAGGGAAGAGGTGGGAAATTATTAAATATTAGTAGGTTTACCTCATTGGGTGCATTGAAGACTGACCACATCTTAGTGCTGGGACTTCTTGTAACCTCTTCCTTCTTGCACACAACTCACTGTGCTAGGAGAGCAGAAAGAAGCTGTTTGACTTGTGCTAGTTTGATAGCATTAGCATTACTGAAATCATATGGCACTGATGGGAAGGACAGCTATAGCTTTAGAGGGTTCTAATGGGTTAGCTCACTTTACAAAGTGGTAAGGCAGCCTCCATGCAGCAGCTAGAGCACAACCGTCCTGTGTAAAGGAGCAAGCTGAACAACACAGCTGGCAAAGTAGTGCTGGTTTGCAAGGGGGGTGTTCCTGCTGCAGGAGGACTCCTTGCTTGTGCTGTTCTTGTGTGTGTATTGTAGGAGCCTCCTATGCATCTGGAGCTGCCTGTGAGCAACCACAGAGTGAAGATAACGCTTTGTATTTTTGCATCTTCCAGTGGGCAAAAAGCAGGAACTGAGGTTCCAGCTTTTCATCCCCTTCAGGAAGGTGCGATGTTGCTCATTTTAAGTTAGCAGACTTCACTGTGCCTGGTGCTGGTCTTTAAAATGGCCTTACAGGGCTGTGGGAGGGTAGCTGCAACCTGTACCAGATAAGATAGATACTGGCATTTAAACTTCCTCACCCTAGTGAGGATCAGGATGCGTTCTTTTAGTTACAGCTCTTCTCATTCTTGGCAATTCATTTCTTTTGATGTGCCACTTGAAAAAATATTCTTAGAAATGCCTCAGTAAGTTGCAGCTTCATGCTTTGTATGCTTTTTCTGCATACTTTGTGATGTCATGATTAAGAATTTCTTGTTTAGCTTTTCATTTGTATTCGTAGGACACGATTACTGATGAACTAACAGTGGATTGTAAAACAAGGAAAATAAGCTGTCTGTTGCCTGGTCTGGTGCAGGAAATGCTCTTGTGGAGGTGGGTGTGTGTGCAGAGCCAAGAAGCCACTGGAACCAATGAGACAGGTTTACAATTGCAGGTGTTTGGTGGAGAGCAATCCACAGTACCAGTGTGTGTATGACATGAAAACCAACAGGATGAATGCCCATTGCGGGGTTTGAAAAACTCAGTATGTGCTTCTGTATGCTAGGAAGTAGTGTAAAAAGGAGCAGATACAGCAGTGGAATGCTGGCTTTATTACAGCTGTCTGTTTTGATTCTTTGTGTCTTTTTGTAGCATCCATTATTAGAATGAGGGCCACTTGATTTTTCCTTGGAGTAGCTCTTCTGCAAGTTGTTACCTTGCACTATTGGCTTCAGTAAAAGAACTCTTTCGTTACTTTATTTGATTTCCTGTGTGGAATGATCGTTTCCAGTAAAGAAGAAGTAGTGATGGTCGTTGAGGCTTCTCATATTCCTAGATAGGTGTCTCCTTCCCAAAAGAGTGTCTGTGACCCTAAGGTGAAGTTCTTGTTACCTTCCATAAACTGAAGTCCATCTGTGAAGGTAATTCTTTTTGTGACTCTGTTTTTTCTCTCAGAAGTTAGGGTATGCTCCTCTGTTTAGAAAGTTGGGTTTCTCCTCTTCCTTCCAACTGCTGCTGGCAGGTTGTCCCCGATGGGGAGCCAGAATGGCCTCCCAAGTAGAGAACCTTTCCCACGTGAGCAGTAGCTGTAATTACCAGAATTATTCTAACTGACCTATATTAGAGGCTAGAGCAGTAACGTGACCAGCGGTTATTTCTAAGGTTGGAACTGCATTTTAAAGTGAGCTTTCGTCCCTGAGTGAATTCCAAAAGCTTGTGGGGGGGGTTCTCCATACGTTGTCAGGAAAGAGGCAACTTTTTCCTTCATTATCAGAATTGAGCTTGAGAAACTTGAGAAATACATTTCTGTTCTCTGAAATGTATGCTCTGATTACTGCAAGCTTCAGTTTATTTAGAATCCAGCTTACAGATGTAAATACACTTAAACAGTTTTAAGACTTAATAACCTCATATAAAAAATGGTAGAATTGTAGAGTATGTGTTTGTTCTGTGTAACACAGCAGGCTTCTGATGTCTCTCGAAACAAATGCTCATTCTTCACTGCGCTGTGTAGGGCACTGGGGATGCTGAGGTGTGAAGACAAAACTTCTCACTGCTTCCTAGTGAATTGTCAGAGCATGCTCACACTCCAGTGAACTCTCCAAAAGCTCGGATTAGTCTTCATACAAACACTGCATAACCAACCTTCTGTCACAGTTCAACTCGTAAGTTAATTTGCAGTGTGTCATAAATGCTTTTTTCAGACACTGAGTCACGCTGTGGTTCCACAGGCCGGGCTACCAAGCAGCTCACTCAGCTGAGGTTTGGCTCTGTCCTGCACATGGGCCTCGACTGTCTGACCTGCTGGGGGTGCAGCAGGCGCAGTGCTTTCTTCTCCCCAGTTCTGCCCCACCCTTGTGATGCTGACACCATTAGGAGCTCGGCTGGCTGAGGGGTCAGGTCACTTCGGCAGTTCTTGAGAGCATGCAGCATAGGGATGGAGTGGGAAACTGTAGGAAGTAAGAGAAAGTGGAAGGCCCCTG